TTTAGGTAACCAAGATGGTTCTTAACAGACAAGCAATAAAAAAAAATATATGATCCAGCAGTGGCAGGTTTAATTCTGTGGTTATAAAGAGAAGATTCATTTTCTTGCTATGATGCAGATGACTCCTTCTGGTCTGTCTGAAGCTTTCTCTCTGGGCATCTCTGTGGTATTATTGCAGCATTATTTATTTGTTTATTTATTTGGGCAGGTGGTTCGGTTGGCAATCCAAAGTCCTAGGAATTCTGTTCCAGTCTGAGACAGTTCTGTCCTGACATGGGCCAACAGTTGTTAATCACTTGTCTTTTTTAATCCGAGATTAATTCTAACTCTTTCTTACTAGTTCGGTACCTGAGTCTGGATTCTGCAGTGTTCCAGGGGAGGGATTTGGATCCAGGCAGAATCAGGGAAAGGCCCAGGGACCACTCCTAGCTAGTTAAAACATTATTTCCATATGAGCTAAGACTATTCCGAACAGTTTTTCATGGAAACAGCTCAGTGTTATCTAGTGACATCTGGAACGACTCTTCCTCCTCCTCCTCCTCCTCCTCCCCCTCCTCCTCCTCCTCCTCCTCCTCCTCCTCTCTCTCTCTCTCTCTCTCTCTCTCTCTCTCTCTCTCTCTCTCTCTCACACACACACACACACACACACACACACACACACACGAGAAAGACAGAGACAGAGAAAACACAGAAACCATAACCCTGTGGGGAATTTTCTCTACACGAGACTCTCGGCCTAGACCCGTGGCCATCTCTGCGTACCTACCTATGTACACAGTGTAAACAAATGAGTTTGCACATGTGAAAATCTACTGGACTGGGGGGAAACCAGGCCCCTTTCAGAAGTGCAGACCTTCCCACCCTTCGCTCCTTATAGCACAGAGCTATTTTTACAGCAGCACTAGAGTCTGGAGTTTTGGGAAAACACCAAATGTTTTGGGTGTGTCTATACAGGCGCGAAGGCTTCTGAGGGGGAAAAGAGCAAAAGAAAACTATTTTCCTGCTGGTTGCTAAGTGTGTGCACCCCTCTGTGGCATGCATTATCACGCTCAGTTGTTTCACATTTAGGGAAGTACCAGCTATATTTTAATATTCTCTGTAATCTCATTTTTCCATCCTCCCTGGGCTCTTTATTCTGATGCCAAAACATTGCCCTGTCTAACCTCTGCTGGAGGGATAAACCCTGACCTTCATGGAAATTCCACCCTCCCGGTAAAGGAAAAGTCCAGGTCCAGCCAGCTCCACAATCCTTCCACGAAGGGAAGCTGTAATGAGATTTTAATTGGAGCAAGTCGCTGTCCAGCTCAACATGAACATTTAAAATGATGCTCTTGTTTAAAAATAATTGTTTCCGGCATTATTGTTTGGAAATGTTGCTTTGGGTGGTATCGGGGATTGGGCTACAAAAATATATTAAAATGATGAAAACTCATGTTTTCTCACACCAATGATCTTAACTTCAAATCCTACCATTTTATAAGAATTAATAGAGTCTGTGATAGTACTAATATAAAAAGCTGCCTTGTGAATTATTTAGCCATTCCTTTTCATGCATGCTCATATTCTTGATTCTGAAGGGCATTCTCAGCCACCAAACATATTGTGTTATTGCTTTCCCCAGCTTTCATTCCACAGGCTAGGGAGGTTTATTAAGATGGCATGATTCCAAATAGCATAGGAAAAATAGGATTATTTTCCCCTTTTTTTGAATAACATTACACCTTCCTATTGTACTTACTCAGTGTCTCGTGGAGAATTTACAAATCAGTTCGAGGTCAAAGAGTCTTTAGCCAATATGTAAGGTGAAAGAGAAGTCTGTGGAGGTTAAATGTAGATCCTAGGTCATGATCACATGGGATCACGGAGCCAACCTGTGGAAGAGCAGGTGGGACTATGTTTCCAGTTCAATTGCCTATGGGGTTCTAGAATATGCAGTAGAAATCACATCAAGTAGCTAATAAAATGAGGGACAGGGCTGGAGAGATGGCTCAGAGGTTAAGAGCATTGCCTGCTCTTCCAAAGGTCCTGAGTTCAACTCCCGGCAACCACATGATGGCTCACAACCATCTGTAATGAGGTCTGGTGCCCTCTTCTGGCTTGCAAACATACACACAGGCAGACTATTGTATACATAATAAATAAATAAATAAATAAATAAATAAATAAATAAATAAATGAGGGGCAGCAGACAGAGTGCTACTAACTCAGATTCCTTCACCCACACACTCTCATACTGGGTCCCAGAATAGTTCCTCACTCTATCTAAACAAGAAGAATAACCAAATGAGTATCTATATTGAACAGCTACCATTTGATGTAACATACTGCAAGAAGAGAAAGACTAGGTCTTTGTCTTGCTTGGCCATTCTTGCTGGATGCTAGTATCCAGATTCTACACAAGTCATGTTCATCTTCTAGTAGGGTCATTCAGCACACATGGGCTCTGGGTTAGCCCATCATAACGATCACCGTTTCCCAAGGACCACCTGCATGTGATCCCGAAGACCCCCGAATGAATTATTATGGTACAGACTCAAGAATCTGCATTTCTACAGAGACCCGTGTTTCACAGATGCAGCTGAATAAAACTGGCTTTCCTCTCGAAGCAGCTCTAGGTGCTGAGGAGATGACTCAGTGGATAAAGGGCTGACCACACAAACATGAGGCCTGGAGTTTGTTCCCAGTCCAAAGGCATGGGAACTTCCCTATAATGCAGTGCTTGGGAGGTGGGGACAGAGGACCCCTAGAGCAAGCTCGCTAGCTAGACTAGCCAAATCAGTGAGATTTAGGTTCAATTGAAAGACCCTGCCTCAATGTGTACAATGGAGAACCATCAAGAAAGGTGCCAACATCTGTCTTACACACATGTACACACACACACATACACACACACAAATATGCATACCACACATACATTTGCAATGATTAAAAAGATAGGATACACACGAATAAGTAGACATCAATATAAATAGATGTAAGAGAGGAAGAAGCAAGATTGCTCAGTGAATAAGGGCGTTTGATGCCAAGGCTAGCAACTTGCATTAGATCAGTGGGAGCCGGATGGTGGAAGGAAAGAACCAACTCCTGCAAGTTGTCCTCTGACCTGTATACTCATGCCGTGGCACATGTGTGTCCCAGCTTCGAATAATATAAAAGGAAAATGCTAGGCAGGAAAGAGCAAGTCCAGCTACGATTTGCTTGGGGAAAAGTCCCTTGAGAAACCTTTGAGGGTCAACGGGGCTTAAGTGTGCGTGCAAGCTTGTGTGTGGTTATCTGTCTGTGAGTGTGCACACGAGTGCGTGCCTATGCACAGACCTAATGATGATAGCCATGACAGCTTGACTGGTGATTTTTGTCTTCATGATGATGAGCTGTATCCGGGCGACCTCTCTTCTTTTCACTTTCTGCATCGTATTTAATACGTTACCTGAGATAGCGAACACTTTAGTTATAAACCAGACTGTGTGAGATGATCAGTGGAGTCACACAGCCTGTGCTCTAATGGGGTCTGAAGTAGGCCAGGCTAAGCTGTGCTGTTGGGTAGACTGGGTGTATTCCATGCATTCTGCACGTACAGTGTTTGCCATCTGTGGTGGTTTTATTGGGATGCAACCCTGTCGTAAGCCAAGCAGCATCTGTGGAAAGTAATGTTGGGAAATATTAATGCCTTCTGGGAAAATGCCATGTGCAAATTATTTGGGGGGAAAATATCAAGGGGCTGCTTCTTAAACTCTCTTAGTTTGGTGCTAATAAAGTGACTCAAGTCTGTCTGGAGACTTCTTGAGTCAGAAGTCTCTCTGGGGGTGGCTGGAGTGGTGGCTCAATGGGTAAGAACACTTACTACACAGCACGAGGACCTGAGTTTGGATCTTCACAACCAAGCAAAAATTGGAGTACAGTTATAGGTGCCTGTCACTCTAATGTAGAGGGATGGGGACTGGCAGATTCTCAGAACTCACTGCTTAGTGATTCTGGCCATTCAGTTAACAACAGACTCATTGAGAGACCTGTCTCAAAAAAAAAAAAAAAATCAGGTAGAGAGATGGAGGGAGATGCCTGATGTACACCTGACATCAAACTCTGGCCTCCACCCCCTGCCACACACACACACACACACACACACACACACACACACGTACACACACACATAAGGAAGTCATATGCATGGTGTAACATATCTATTGAACGAATGTAAAGAAGTAGAAGGAGCTCTGTGACATTCACCGGGCCATTGGCTTCTCCATCAAGACATGAAGTGAGCTCCTTAGACGTGATTCTGAGAGGAAGTTTAAACTCCTAAGAGAGAGGGGCCACCAGCATCCTATGCCGAATGCTTACTAGAGTTGGAGGTTTGAGGGGACACTTAACTAGAGGGGGTGGGATCCGTGACCTGAACCTGACAGCAGAACTCAAAAAAAAAAATGACTTTGTGTACATTATGAAAAAAATCCCCAATTTTCAAAATATTCTCACCTCACCTCCTCTTACCATGCTCCCTCCAGAGTGGTCAGAAATCTGCAAACTCCTTAGAGGGCAGCGCCTACTTCTAGAACTCCTGAGTGTCTTAGCCAGTAGACCGAAATTAGAATGTGTGCCAGTCAAGAACATTCTCATTCCCTAGGGCTGGATGAAGCCAGGGTTCACATTGCAGCAAGCACTCAGGGGTTCTGGTGAAGGAATATTCCGTTATAGACTAAGGCAGCTCTATCTGCACACGTGTATGCCTGAGGTTGGAGTCTTTTATCAGAAAACGAAACTCTGTAGAGGAGGCCCATGAGTCCCGGGGAAGGACAAGGATATTAAGCCCAGAGCTTAAAGCTGTTTTCCTCACAGTGTTCCTCAAGATTAACCTTCAATAACCCTCTGCATTAGCACACGTCTAAATTGCAGAAACAGGACTTGGAGGGAGTATAAGTCAAGGGTAGTGTGAGTGATAAGCTTGTCTGTGGCCCTGGCTTGACCCCAGGCATAAAATTTTGAAAATATCTTTTCTTTCTCAGAAGTCCAGCATGGATAAGATCACAGGCTCCAGCTGCTTCTTAGCAAGAACAAGCCCCGCGGATGACGGCAGCAATTGCTGTTTTGGTGGATGGAGCATGCCCGGACAACAAGCCTCCAAGGACCCCCAAGCTCATTCCTTCCCTCCCCCGCTCTTCTTCAAGGGTGTGCATACGCGGAGTTCATCAAGATAGCGGCTGACCCTGCTACTGAATTTGGAACGTCTGCCGAGGAAAGCGTTTGGCATGAAGTTTCTCTTCAGCAGGCCTCCCCGAAGCTGTGACGTGGAAGTGGGGGTGGATAGATTTGGGCTGCTCCTGGCTTGGAAGGACACACCTAGCTGGTCAAGATTAAGCCCTCGAGAGGAGCAGAGGGAGAAAAGGCCACTTGGGAGAAGATGCTGGGTGGGGTCTTTTGAGAAAAAGAGAGGGAGGATTTTAAGCTGAAGTGGAGCTGGAGCTCAGATCTGAGATCCTGTGGCTCTGGAAGTGGAAGCCTTTTCAAGCATCTACGTGGGACCTAGTTAGATATTCACAAGCCTTGGGTAACTCATCAGCGGTCAAGCCGAACCCCGGGGCAATGCCATTACTTTTACTCCCACTACTTAAAGCCAGTGGTGTGTGGGTATAATAAGCCGAGGTAGTTTAATTTGCATGCGCAACCTCTATTTGTACACAACGTACTTTAGAGAACACTTGATTATATGTTTGCAATCCAAGGTAGGGTCCAAATAAGAAAATGTCGGAGAAAAATAAACTTTCCTTTTGATAAAGACTATCATGTCCTGGAAATCCACTTCTCTTGTTCTCTGAAATAAACATCATGATAAATGGAGTTAACTTGGTTTGTAAACTGCAGGCATTGTCTCAGCCTGGAAGGAACAGGAATTACAAGGTTGTATCTTAGAAAATTAGAGACTTGAGGGGACTTAAAGTCTTCAATGGACGATGGGAGATGGGAGAGAGTTTCAAATCTCAGCCGTGAGTTTCAGAGTTAAGAAGGGCCATTTTGGTGTAGTGAAGTAAAACGTGCAGTTAGAAGTGACCCTGACCCTGACCCTGGCCCAGTCCTTCTTCAACTATATCAGTTTTCACTAAGCCAGCGCCAGAGGCTCAGAAATGCAGGGCAGGGAAGACACGGCACAGAATGTTCAGGCCACCATACTTCAATAGATAAAGCAACATGGGATGAAGAAGAAGGAATTGCTGTCAGACTGAACAATTGCTATCAGGGTCAGTGTCAATAGGGAACTTGTGCCTGTGCACTCGGGAGTAACTGTGTTGGAGAGGAAAGTTTGTGCTGGGGCTGAGGACACAGCTTAGTTGGTAGAGTCCATCTCTAGTATGTACAAAGTCCTGGGTTCCGTTCCCAACAATGTAGAAAGTGGATATGGTGGCACATGCCTATAATCCTAGCACTTGAGGGTGGAGGCAGAAGGATCAAAGATTAAGGTCATTTTCATCTAAACAGAGAGTTTGGTGTCAGCATGGACTACACAGAGCTCCCCCACACACACCCCAAAAATATTTTTTGCTGAAGGACCTCAAAGAACAAAAAAGATATCAAAATTAGGCGGGAAAGCATGGGAAGGCACTAAAGATGCCCAAAATGCTGGAGGAACACTGAAGTATTTCCGATTGCTCTTTATTGAAGGGAAATCTGAGAGACAGGCAGGGCCCAGAGCACAAGACTAAAAATGCATCAGTGTGATCTGTGGATACATTGAAAAGACAAATAGACTAGTCTTCCTTGATCCATTTCTCTTCCTGGAGTTTCAGATATTTTGTTCAACCATATAGAAACATTCAAGAAATAGCAACCTCATAATTTTCCATTTGTACACAGCACTGTTCTGAGTCCTGTAAAGAAGTCTTGCTCTACCTGGCAGTCTCTGCCTGAACAGAAGCATCCCTTTGTTCAGCGTGTAGGCACTATATACGCTATCCACCCTGTAAGCATCTCAGTTACTAGATTCACCATCACAGTCCCTTGGTGCTTGTGCAAAGGACTCTTACTCAACTGGATATTAAAGAGGGGAGAATTTTGTTGATCCTAAGTATATAAACAAACCCACCAAACCTCAGATATACTGGCTAATATAAAAGTACTCAAACACCAGCTATGTGTTAGTTCATCCCTGTGACACATTAGGTAGGAATAATACTGTGGGTTTGAAACGAGTCCGAGGTACAGATACAAGACCTGTTTCAAAAATAAAAATCCAACCAAACAAACAAAAATATCCAAAGAGGTACAGAGAATACTTGGGATGGTTGATTATCTATCTATCTATCTATCTATCTATCTATCTATCTATCTATCTATCCATCCATCTATCTATGTAGTTATCTATCTACCTATCTAGTGTGCATGTGTGTGTTTGTGTATGTGTGTGAATATATGTGCATGTATATGGAAGCCAGAAGGCAACACTAGGTCTCTCCCTCAGTTATTTCTCTGTTTTTTTTTTTTTTTTTTTTTTTTCTGCAACAGGGTCTCTCACTGAGCCTGATCACTGATTGGCTGGACTGGGCAGGCTGTACACGCCAGAGATTTGTGGATACGTATATGTATGTGTGTGTGCAAGTACCATATCCCAATCAAACTACAAGCCAGAATAAACCCTTCCTTCTTTAAGTGGCTTTTGTCATTTAGTCACAACAATGAAAAGTAGCTGTGTTTACCTTCTATGTGTGCTCTCTCAGCAACTGAGAGCTACTGGGACAAAGAACCCATGACATCCCACAGTGGACTGAAACAGACACTGAGTACCTGCTCAGAATCGGCCCTTGAACTCTTCACATGCCCTCACTGATCCTCACAATAGCCCTCCACAGTAAAAAGTTTCTGAGGTTTGACTAGCAGGCAAGGTGACGAGAGCTCCTAGATGGCCTCAGTCTTGTCTGTAGACCCTGCCTTTTCCCACACCACTAGATTGTGACTGAAGGCATAGGGGTCCACAATCAAGTTCACTGCTTTTTAGGGGGCGACAACCCCAAAGTGATTACAGAGAGAACTAAAATGCAGACCACCCTTTAGGTTCACAGAAGCCATGTCTGTGTGCTCAGGTGAGGTAGCTCATTGGCCCATCATCGATATTTGCCTTCTGATTATTTAAATTTTAGTCAAAACTCTTTCCAATGCTATTTTTTTAAAGGCCTTGCCCAGAAGTGTATTCGTATTGGTTACCTTCCTTATTGTGGTAAAACATCTGACAAAAGCCATGCAAGAGAGGAGGGGATACAGTCTGTCACTGTGAGGAAGGCTTGGTGGCAGCAGTTTGAGGCACCTTCTCATTCAATTCAATTCCCAGGCAGGAAGCAGAGAGCTGGCAGGAAGTGGGCCAGGTTGGAAAACCTCAAGGTCCTTCCTCAAGGCCCACCTCCCCCAGCAAGGCTCCGCCTCCAGAAGATTCCACAGCCTTCCAAAATAGCACCGCCAGTCGGCGCAATGTCCAAACACACTAGCCTCTGAGGGACATTAATGTCCAAACACACTAGACTCCAAGGGACATGACACATTCAAACCATAATGACATGCTGGAACAGTTAGTTGCTTGATTAGTTGCTTGGGAACCGCCAAAGGTATAGCACACATTGGGTACCCCTTTGTAAACACTGCTAATGGCATTCTGCAGATTGAACTTAAGGTGTTGCTCTCTGAGTCAATAAAGTGAGAGTTACATTTTTCCCCCCATGACACCCAATTTTAGTTTTCTATTTTTGTTATGAGTACCGGTAGGGTAGAGCTTTCGGGTGGAGTTTTGTTAACAGTTGGGTTTGGGAGCTGGGAAGGAAAAAGTCAGATCAAAGAGAAGCAGGGTGAGGAAGCATCAATGCTGGGGCTTGTGGCCCGATGCTGGTAAGCGGTGCAGGGCAGTAGATAGCGGATATTGTCATGACCTTCTCCATGTAAGAAGCCAACCACATGGATTATCTTTACAAAAGCGGAGTTTCGAAAACCTTCTTGCTATGATTCAGTTCCACTTGCTTTGCCTTCCTGTTGATGTCAGTGTCTCCCAGCATAACCCAGGGCTCCTCTGATACATCTCTGGCCAGGGAACTGTCCAAAATCAGTTTCCTTCAGGTTAAGGAGATGAGTTCTGTCACAGACTTGCTGGGGTATGTTTTAATCTCCAGGCAACAGACAGCACGAGCCCAGAAGAAGTTCAGTGATATTCTGAATCCTTTTTGCTTCTTTTCCTGAGTTCCCAGCAGTCAGCAACAAAAATATTGACATACTGGGACTAGGGAGGTACCTGAGCCGGAAAAGAGATCCCACAAGGGCCCGAGTGCACTCCCTAGAACCCACATAACAAGCCAGGTGTGTGAGCACACCCTTGCAATCCTAGGGCTGGTTAGGCAGAGACACGAGGATCCCTGGGGCTCACTGGGCAGCAAGCCCAGCCGACTTGGCAACTTTAGCCAGAGAGACCCTGTCTCACAATGACAGCAACAGCAAAAGTGGATGGCTCCTGAGGGACAACAGCTGAGGTGTCCTCTGGCTGTCACTGTCACACACATTCATATGCCCTTCTGCTCACATGGACATACTCACAGGAAGAGAGGAGTGTGAGATATCCCAGTTATCAAGTGCAGACTGGCTGGTCACTGCTGGGGAGATGTCGAAGTTAGTTCTGAAAGCATTTCTGTTGACTTTTGTCTCTGTCCATGGCACTCTTAGGGCAGGAGCACAGATTCTACAGATTCAAACAGTCAATGAATACAGGGAGATGATCGTGACAGGCTTCTCACATCCAACTCGCCTCTTCCTTTAGCCCTGACCTGTGTGAGAAATGAGCTAGCCTGGTGCCACAAACGGGGGGTGGGTAGGTCTTCTCCAGGGAGAAGTGAAAGCAACGTGCTGTTTATTCTATGAGAGTCTCACACGTTGGTCTGGATGAACAAAGCAAACCAAGCTTTAGGTGGCCAGCTACCTCTTCTGTTCAGGACGAACACACCCTGTTTACAGATCCTAAGGGTTTTTATTTTATTTTACTATGTCTTTAGTTGGCATTCAAGAAAATGTATTTCACTCTGACATTTCCAGACATATAAATCAGTGCCCCTTGTTCCTATGCACCCCCCCACTGTCTTCCCCTAAACCCCTGGTCCCTCTGACATACTGCATCCTCTTACCAGATAGTCCTTCCTTTTTGTTTTCATGACACATATGTACAACGAAGACTAAAATGAGGACATCTTCAGGAAAAAAAAAAAAAACAGAGGGAATTGCCAGACTCAGAAAGACAAATATATCTTTTCTCTTAAATGCAGAATCTAGATTTAAACTCACATGTGTGCATATTCACACACATGCACACACGTGTAGAAAGAGGGTTATGAGGAGGGAGGAAGAGGTCTAAAGGAGTAGGGGAGGGGAGCAAGAGTAAGTAACAGGGTTTTTATTATATTATTTCTTCTGTGTGTGGTAGGGAACAGATATGCTATGCGTGCATGTATGTAGATCAGGGGAAAACCCATGGGAGTCGGTCCTCTCCTTCCACCATGCGGATCCCAGGGATTGACCCTGGCTCATCAGGCTTGGTGACAAGTGTCTTTCCCTGCCGAGCCATCTTGCTGGCATGACTACAGGGTTTTTAAGGTACATTAGATTCCTGAGGCTGCAGCAACGAAGTACCACACATCAGGTGGCTAAATTATTGTCTCATGGTTCTGGAGGAGAGAG